TCTTATATTTTCCAAATCATGAAGTTTTGAACACTATTTAACTTTGTTTTTATAATTCAAAGAAAAATCTAAGGCAGAGTTTCTAGATGCAGATAAATTCACTGAAATAATTTCGCAAAAAAAAAAATTATGGCGGGAACATTCGAAAGCAAACATGAAATCCCCGTGAGAATTGGCCGAAGCTTCCGGATGAGGTTACTCTCACGCAGCTGTCACGGGATGACAGGGGTACTCTCTCTCTCTCTCTCTCTCTGTTTGTTTGTCTGTCTGTCAGTCAGTCTTGCTGTTTGTATGTTTGTCCGTCTCTCTCTCTCTCTCTCTCTCTCTCTCTCTCTCTCTCTCTCTCTCTCCTCTCTCTCTCTCTCTCTCTCTCTCTCTCTCTCTCTCTCTCTCTCTCTTATATATATATATATAATATATATATATATATATATATATATATATATATATATATATATATATATATACAGACACACACACACACACACACACACACACACACCACACACACACACACACACACACACACACACACATACACATATATATATATATATATATATATATATATATATATATATATATATTATATATATATATATATAATATATATATATATATATATATATATATATAATATATATAATATATATATATATATATATATATATATATATATATATACATATATATTTATATCTTTCCCTCTCTATGTCTCTCTTTGTGTCTTTCTCAGCCTCTTTCTTTCTTTCTTTCTATCTCTCTCTCTCTCTCTGCACCTCTCTATAGCCTATTTCTGCTACCACACTCTTATATGTATTTGTGTACAATACTGTATTTTTCTCTTTGTAAATATTCACTGTTAAGACAAAACCATATCAAATATTCCACTTTCTTTTTCGGTTTGTTTAAATACATTTTTCACAGGACATTAAATCCCGATAGACAGCGAATAATCCTCCCCGTTTCTCTAAACATTCGCGCATTTTGCAAGCGCGCGAACGAGCGAGTCCTCCCTTGCGCAAGGCGTCTCCGACCACCCACCTGCGATGGCACGACGGAGGAGCAGAAGGTGCGAGCGAGCGGGAAGGAGTAAGACACACGAGGGACGGTAGGCAGATGTCTAGTGCGGCTTCCTGTGCCTCTCTTGCGGCACGATACCCTGCCCACCCCCTCGAGAACACGCCCACCTCCCCCCCTCATGTCCCAGCAGCGCCACTTAGGACGACACCGCCCTCATCCAATTCCCCGTGGGTGTCCTATGGTAAACGTCCCTCATACTGACACCGTACCATCGCGTCATCAAATACTCGAGCCTCAGCTGTTGACAAAAGCTAACTAGTACCCCCTGTGGTGTCGATTCTTTTGAACAGTTAATGAAGAAAAAGTAGTGATTTTCTTAATATTACCCTTTCCCGCTATAAGCACCATAGTTTAATTTGGCAAAAGGACGCAGACCATAACCTGAAGATTAAAGTTAAGAAATAATAATAATAATACTCAGCCGTCCGCAACCATGCCTGGGGCGATCATCTCACTTATCAAAAAATAATATCCAAAAGACTGTGTTGACTGGGTGAGTGGGGGAGCGAGAAAATAGAGAGATCTTTTACACTTTATGTACCCATAAAGTCCTCCTCCTCCTCAAAATGGCTATATGTACAGCGATATCAAATACCCTGGAAACATCCAAACGGCATAATTGTCAGGCATTCCCACGCCATCAGTAATCATACAAAATCACAGACCTGGCACCTAAAACACCCAAGCCAAGAATTTCGCTTCTATTCTCTCGTTCAACATTCTCCAAATCGCATTCTTCCCCTCTCGCTCACATCGCCGTTCACGCTTCATTTCCCTCACTTGCCTCACTTTCGTCACCAGGAACTCTCCTCGCAGTCACTCTATACGTGTTTTTACGCCGATTAAACAACTGCATACGCCCATTATACACGCCTACGCATCTTCCGGCTCCCATGCTTCATTCTCTCAGGCGAACTTACGCAGATCAGGTTCCGGGCTCGTGTTGGGTGTCAGCTCCTGTTGTGCGGCCTTCGGGGAGGGCTCTTTGGCAACTGCCTGGGCTCTCTATGGTCAGACGGATTTCGGTTTATATGCACATGCCGCCTATATATTTGGGACACACACACACACACACACACACACACACACACACACACACTCACAATCACACACACACACACACACACACACACACACACACACACACCACACACACACACACACACACACACACACACACACACACACACACACACACACACACACACACACTCATACCCACACACACAACACACACAACACACACACAATATTATATATATTATATATATATATATATATTATATATATATATACACCACACACACACACACACACACACACACACACACACACATACACACACCAACACACACACACACACACACACACACACACAGGACACACACACACACACACACAATATATATATATGCAT